GATCGCGGTGGAATTTTGTGATGTAATCTGATGAAACTTCAGAGGATAAGAACAATACAATTAGATACAAATTAGATCATTAAACATACGTATTGTGCATTGATTAATCATCGACGTTCTTACATAAGATTGCTATAGGTCCAACGATTTAACAAGAAATTACGCTCCATCATATATGTCACAAAATACCTCTTATACTATACAACAAGAAGCATATGCATTTAGTTAATATAAATTAAAGAATCTTTCAACAAAATTGATGGTTGGGAATTTCATTATAGTTCTGTTACAAATATAAAAAAAGGTTAAAGAAGAAAAAAACACGAAAAGACAAACTAAACTCTCAATATCCCCATCTTTCATTTAATGGAAAACCAGATAACACACAACCCTCAAAATCATAATCTCAAAAAAAAAAGAAACATATGTTGATAGTAGGAAAGTGGTTAAAAAAAATAAAACCAGGAAAAAATGACCGGGAAACGAAAAGGGAACAATGAGACTCACGGTGCAAGAACCAAAAAGAGGAAAACAAAGCCTCATGAACAACCACGAATCACCCTTGAAGAAACAAGTAAGTTGCCGTCATCATCTAAACTCACCACAAACAAGAACAATGGTCCAAACATTTACAAATATATTAACTGTTAAGACTACATTTCAACGTACAGATTGTGGATGCTGCATTTGTACACGTGGAGGTACATAAGAACAAAAAGACACATGGGAATTTAGCTATCCAATAGTTTTTATTATGCAACAAAACTAACATTTACATTTACAGAGAACACAAACGAGCAAGACAAATGCGACGCGGAATCCTTGGAAAGCAAGTAAGTACCGGATGCGAGAAAGCAAGTACCAGAAAAGAGTACTCACGTGGAAATAGCTGAAGCCCAGCCAAGAAGTCCCCCCCCCCCTCTCCTCATATTTTAGATTGTCGAAGTTAGAGCTGGTAAGAAAATAATTTATCATAACTCTTGAAAATCAAAACGTAATTAGATTTTCTGTAATCAAAAGAATTAGACGTGATGGTTACAATTTAAAATTCTCAGAATTACCTTCTCGCAATGGTAGTAAGGGAAGAAACACCTTTTATTGTTTAATTTATTAAAAATTACCAAAAGAAAAGAAAGGAAGAACGGACCACTCAACAGAAGAGCAAGACCACCAACCAGTAAAAGACAGGGAAACCCTCCGAAACAGTTACGATGGCATACTGAAGAAAGAGAATACGTTAATCTTGAGGGACTAACAAACCACTAATTGGACCACAATAAAATAACATATAGGCCC